TCACAGAATCAGCCACAGTACAGAAATATAAATGGGACGGATCTATCAATCATCCACCTATTCTCTATTCATAGATCTTGTTTTATTCATGGAACTTGTAGCAATGGCTTTTAAAAATGGAGCTGCTGGGGGTAAAGGGCAGATATAGTCAGGCACTCTTGATGAGAGCCTGTTACAGCCCCTTAGTTCTATACATGTTTATGTTATATATTTTGTGTTTTAGGTAAAATTAGACTCTATAAATAATAACGTAAACTCATCCTTAGACCACTCAGAGCAGCAGCATCAAACCTAGTCTGAACGCCGGACCTCATAAATACTCTTAACAAAAACAAGTGCGCTTATTACCGGTACTTTAAATAATTTAATGTGCATGAACCTACAGCGAAAAAGATACAAAGACAATTCATATGCTAAATAAAATATAAAAAAAAACAAATCCGATATTAAAAAAGTAAGATTTAATCCGCAAAGATTTTTTTATGTGCAAACAATAAATACATGTACAAAGATATAGACCACATGTCTGGTAGCAAATTTTATAAACGATCGAATTTTATATGTTGTGCCTGTCAATGTACCAGTAAATTCAGTTACTTTCCTACCCCTAAACAAGTTAACCTGGCTGACTTTACACTTCCTATAAAGATGATAGCCCTCTAAATTGGCAAAAAACACAGGTCTAATGGGTGGATCCATCACATTTGGTGCCACTTTATTCCTAAGATTCCCTGCACCCCTAAAGATGATAGAGGGCCATTTCCGTTGGAAAACTGGAAAATTTGGATTTTTTGCCATTCAATGTCTAATGATGTTTGCTTACATGTGAGTGCAACCATACCTTAAATAAATGTGATTATGGTTTTACAGTATGTGGAGCGCTCTTTCTTTGCATGTTTTCTATTACAAGTCCAAGCCTCATCCTGAGTGGTTTAGCTACCCCAATTAAGGTCAATTGTTTTGAAGATCTTTATCTGCTCTTATGGAGATCTGGAGGAGGATTCAAGTGTCCGGCTTTCTGGATTGTTTAAACAAAGCGCGATTGACCACTCTTAACAGGGGGACATGCCTTTCTGGTAAGCCTTCTGTAGTAGTGGTTGGTGACGCAACAACTCTCCTTGGATTTCTTTTGTTTCATCACTACCTCTGGGACTTTTCTTTCATTTTTGGATGGACTATTTTTTTATACACTTTTCACTGTTTCTTTATGATTATTTGTCACTTTTGTAAGCGCTGCACTTTTATGTATTATTGTAATAAATACATGTAATCCAGTCCAATAGTTTATGTGCAAATAAATAGATACAAAATGTATTGAAAGACCCGGCTCCAGCATTAGAATTGAATCCAATGAAAAATTTCTCAAAGAATGCCAGTCAAGGTGCTCCAGTGTTAAGGTGCAGCACTCATATAAAGCAGCTTACCAAATGGAAAAATCTCTAGATCTAAATGGGTTCATGGATATACAAGGTAAGTAGCTCTGCCTGCCAGCTGAGGACTCCAGCTGTCTTGAAGGGAACACAGCAATAAAACTACAATTTTACATGTCATTCACAGCCAAAGATGCCAGGTAAAAAGATAAAGCATGAGAGAAGCCTCACAGTGCAATAAAACTCCAAACAGGTTCATTAATAGGGATATTGCACATACAAATTAGCAGCATTAAAACAACATATCAAACAGCACAGTGCATGGCAAGCTCCAAGTTTTACTGCACTATGAGGCTTCTTGTATTCTTCATCTTTTAATCAGCGTCTTTGGGTGTGAATGACATGTGAAATTGGAGTTTTCATGCTGTAATCTCTATGGGGCAGATGGTGTTCTGAGCTGGCCAGCAGAGTTTCTTACCTTGTTAAATACTGTATGTCTTGATTTGTGAGTTGATTCAAACGTTAATGTAATAGTAGTTAATTGTAATATCATCACAAGTAGTACTAAAACATCAATGAAACTACAATAAATATGTTCATCTGTACATTGCATGATGTGGCAAAGCTTAGCTGAGAATTACTGTATAAAATAAAAATCTGATTAATATTGTCCTTACATGTATTAATTATTGAGTCTCTAAAGTACTTTTCAGTAGTAGCAAATAAATAATTGCTACTTCTAAAATAAGCAATATGAAATATATATAGCTTTCTTCCAGTGACATTTCAATTGGAAAAATGTTCAGAATAATACTTTGCACTAATAGGATTGTAAGTATTTTAGATTAAAAACAAATCTTTCAGTTTTGCTATAAAATTGATTGTCATCTATTTCCATACATAAACATTACAGTAATTAAAGAGTATTCTTTTTCATTTAGAGTGACTATATACAAAAATGCAAGAAGCTTTAAAATTTTCAAGAAAAAAGGTCCAAGTAAACTTTCAGTTTAAATGGGCTAAGTGCATTCCAGATGAAACAAGATGTGCAATGTTTTATAGTTCCTTTTCTATAGAAAGTAGTCACCGTATGAGTAGAAAAAATCAGTCCCTTCCAGTATGCTGTAAAAGGGAACTCTTGCTCTCTCTGTGGAAACAGTGGTCTCTTTACAGAGGTCTGACAAGCCCACAGCTGTGTCCTTTCTAGAGCTCGCCAATTAACAGCCACCTTTGGTTTTGGTGATTGTAGAGCTATAGGTCTAAACAAAACAAATTGTAAGACCTTTATAAAGAAAGAAATCTAGACAACTGTACTCAACAGATCCTCTTTATGCCATCTTTATTTAAACAACAAAACCATAAAAGCAGCCAAGAAGAGAAATGGTTGTCAGGTGGCTCATAATCGCTTACACATAACGTGTCAAACCATCTGAGCAGCTCACTTGATACACAAGCAGTTCACTCTGGTGGAATCAATCAATCCTTGACTAATTCTCTCTCTAGCATAAACTACATATTTAAAAAACAAAATACCATAATGTAAAAATAAATACAAAAAAAATCTAAATAATTAGAATTCACCTTCACATTGATGTGACACTTTTAGGTAGAGAGCGACGAATCATCACGGGCCTCCATAAGAAGCCCCTATCTGGAAATACCATCCTGAGAGTGGTTTCTGGGTGTCCAGGTCACACCACCATTAGAGGCATACTGGTAAGCTAATTTCTTACACTGCCCAGGATCTGTTGAGATCAGAGGGATTTTGAGAGGGAAGTAATACAGATGTGTGGTCAATTTCACCATTGAGCCAACATTGAAAAGAGTGGTGAATATAGCCAGGGCAGTGGATAGGAGCCATCTGTTATAGAATAGAGCCTGAGATGTTCATCTCCAACAAACATCAGTATTCTCCACAGCATATAGTTTGGAGTACAAAAAAAATCAAAGGTGTTGTAGAGCGCTTCCAGTGCCTTATGATGGTGATTGTTTCCATCCTTAGAAAACCATCTTTCCCTAAGCTTCTCCTCCAGGATGACACAGAGTAATTTCCCAGAAGTAGGTTGGCAATGAGGCATGTCAGCTGTGTAAAGTCTTCTTTATTTTCTTCAAATCCATCCAGATAAGGGGGAACAATGCACAAATGTTGATGCATTTCAGTCCATTGTTTTTTACTTCTGGAAAATAGTTTGACAGTGTATGTAGCTGTGCTCTGGGCACAGCTACTGTCATCCTTACTACTTTACAAGGCAAAAAGGGTAGCAGCATCACACATTCATTTCATAAATGTGGAAACAGAGTAATGCTCCACCATAAAGGTAACTATAGATGTGGGGAGGATAAATAACCATGTTGTCTCCACATTTGTAATGAGACAGTTTTTTGTCAACTGTGAACTGCAAAGATATCAAAATCAAGTCTTTTTTCAATTGTTATACCCGGTACACCATTTACCTGATCACATACGAAATCTGCTCCATCCAGTATGTAGGGAGAACCACTAGGAGACTGCAGGATTGCCTGCATGATCATGTCCTTAATGTGCAGAAGAAGCATTCAACCAATGTAGCGAGACACTTCAATAATCTTCATGGGGAATACCCCTCAGCCTTACAGATACAGGCTATAGAAAAAGTTGTGACTCCTAAACGAGGAGATCTCTTTAGACTCCTGTGCAAGCGGGAGGTCTTTTGGATATTCCAACTATAGACTAGGATTCCGGGAAGTTTGAAGTTTGAATGAGGCCTCACTAATTTTTTATGAGTGACGGTTCAATTTATGTTTATTTCATAATATATATATTTAATGTGAATGTTTGGACCCTCTCCTGGCTGAATGGGGTCATGCACAGTTCTTGATTTATGAATGTAGTGATATGTTTTTATATGTATTAGGTGGGATTCGATATTTGTTTATGTACAGTATTTAGAAGGCAATATATGTCACAGCAGGTGAATTTTGAAGGTGTATTTGCATTGCTTCTATTGTTATTTGTATATACTGTATTTTGACATCATGTTTTTTGTTTTTAAACATGTAGTTTGTGCTGCAGAGAGAATTAGCCATAGATTGATTGATTCCACCTGGGTGAGCCAATTGTGTGTGGATATCAAGTGATCTGTTCAGATTGTTTCAGAGGTGAGTAACTGCTGAGCACAACACAAAACACATCAGCCATTTCTCTCTCTCTCTCTACTGTGGGTTTTGACTGCTTTATGGATTTGTTGTTTAACCACCTTCCGGCCGCCCTATAGTACAATGATGGGATCAAGGTGGTTCCCTCGTTCTGATAGGACATTATATGACATCCTACCATTCTTACTGCGCATGCACAGCTCAGGGAGCGCGCAGCGCGGCGATCGCCGGTGCGCTGTGTCCCTCGGACACAGCGGATCACGGAAAGAGTCAAAGATGTCGGCTCAGTCATGTGATCAGCTGTATCCAATCACAGCTGATCACATGTAAACACAGAAATGCCGGTTATCGCCATTTCTCTGCTGTCAAGCTGTCACGCTGACAGCTCGAGAGTAGAGGAGAGCCAGTAATCGGCTTTCCGCGGAGGGGACATGTACACTGATCATCAGGGCACTGATGATCAGTGTGCCCTAATGATCAGTGTGGCCCCAGAAGTGCCACCTGTCAGTGCTCATCAGTGCCACGTGCCAGTGCCCATCAGTGCCACATGCCAGTGCCCATCAGTGCCACATCAATGCCACATATCAGTGCATACCAGTGCACATCAATGCCACATATCAGTGCCCATCTGAGCTGCCTTTCAATGTCACCCATCAGTGCCAGTCAGTGCCACCTATCAATGCCAATCAGTGCCACCTATCAGTGCTGCCAATCAGTGCCACCTATCAGTGCCAGTCAGTGTCGCCTATCAGTGCCGCCTATCAGTGCCAGTCAGTGCCGCCTATCAGTGCCAGTCAGTGCTGCCTATCAGTGCCGATCAGTGCTGCCTAACAGTGCCAGTCAATGCCGCCTACCGGTGCCAGTCAGTGCCGCCTATCAGTGCCAGTCAGTGCTGCCTATCAGTGCCATATATCAGTGTCATGTATCAGTGTCATGTATCAGTGCTGCCTTTCAGTGCCCATCAGTGATGCCTGTCAATGCCCATCAGTGCAACCTACCAGTGCCTCCTCATCAGTGCCCATCAGTGCCACCTATCAGTGTCTATCAGTGTAGCCTATCAGTGCCCATCACTGCAGCCTCATTAGTGCACATCAGTGAAGGAGAAAAGTCACTTATTTACAAAACTGTATAACAAAAACTAAGAAAAAACTTTTTTTTTTCAACATTTTCAGTGTTTTTTTGGTTTGTTTAAGAAAAAATAAAAATCCCAGAGGTGATTAAATACCACCAAAAGAAAGCTATACCTGTCTTAAAAAAATTATAAAAATTTAATATGGGTACAGTGTTGCATGGCCGCGCAATTGTCATTCAAATTGTGACAGCGCTGAAAGCTGGAAATTGGCCTGGGCAGAAAGGAGGTATAAGTGCCCCGTAGGCTAGGGGTTAAAGAAAAATTGCACAAAGAGGATCTGTGGAACATAGCCATGTGGATTTCTTTTTTCATATTGTAGCAGTTGTGAGCTGGGCTGGCACCCTTAGTATGCTAGATCTTGAGTCCTGTGATGTGGGCCAACCTGGAGCAGTGTTCTATCACTTGGGTTTGCACAACCTTTGTTTTGATGTGCCCCAAATATGTATTTAGCTGATTTAAATTGAAAGTTATATTGGGATTTAATTACAATCTGATATGTAACTCAAAAGTTTAGATTTAGGCCTCATTCACACCACGCATGCATAAAAACCATGCAGGTTTCACTTGCAGAGACATGAGTTTACATCAGTTTTTGTGCAGGTTTCAGTGAGTTTCATACACAATAATAAGGATAAAGTTTTTGTAGCTGCTGACTGTTATGTTTTTCATTGGAGACTGGAGCTCTGCTTTAAAACATGTTTGAGATGTTCACATTTTACTTACATTTTTGCTGGAATATCCTTTATGTGCTTCATCTCATTGCAGCTTCTTTATAGCATAAGCTGCAAGTGCTGGCTATTGCACTGTATATCACACATAATATTTACAGCCTATAGGCATTATAACAAGGCCTGAGGTCTTGTTGCAACACATAAATGTAAATGTAAGGATATACAATGACATCTATAAACTCTCTGTTCTAGTGTCTCCATACCCTGGGGAACATTCATGTGTGATGCAGTCAGCGGCGGACTGACCATTTGGAAACTCGGGCACTGCCCGAGGGCCCGGGGTCAGTAGGAGGCCCCATGAGATGCCCCTGGTACCTTTTTCATAGGCTTTTTTGAGTTTGGGCAAGGACACAGGGGCCCCATGATCCCCTATTGCCCAGGGACCCCATGAGTTGTCAGTCCGCCCCTGGTTACAGTAACACATGGTAAAAATGCACAGTTTACCTTACATTACCACAACACACTGGTATGAATGAGCCCTTCCAGAGAGGAGTAGGGGTGACATCTCTCAACTGGATGCCTCACTGCTACAGCTGCAACAGGGCAGTCTCACATCTGCTGCCTTCTACACAAATATAAATCCCACAGAGAGACCTTTCGAAATAGTCACAGCAAGTGGGCAGTGTGGGTGGTGGTCAATACTTTATCACTAAAGTTTCCGACATAAAAGCTTGTGAGCAGTTGGCTTAATACATTTTAGAATGTTCAGATTTTACTTTTTTTTTGCTTTTTTGCTGGAATATACTTTATGTGCTTCATTTCATTGTAACTTCTGTATAATATAAGCTGCAAGCACAAGCTATGCGAATGTATATCACATACAACAATTACTGCCTATAGGCGTTATTACAAGTGCTAATGTCTTGCTGCGACACATATGTTCAGCCTGTGGCACAACTACAGGTGACAACTACTGTGGAAATCAGAATAAATTGTTGCATAAAACTAATTCCCTTTGTTAGTATTTTCCAAGTATAGGAACCCTAAAATATCAATTACATATTATTTTCTGGAACAGCCAAATGCAGCCTAAGATGTTTTTTACTTTGTCAGATTTCCGACAATTCATTGTGAAAAGACAACACAACACCAGTAATGAACCCACACACTCAGGTACCACTAATTTAAAATAACTCCTTGCCAAACAAAATGAATCAAGAGGAATACATTATGCTTTCTCTCTTGAGAGGATTGCTGTTCAATTAAAACTAATAAGCAGGCCTCATTCCAGAGCTGAAGATAAATATCTAACTAGCCCTTACACTGTCACCTCTACCTAATGGACAATTAAATGCTTTCTATGATCTGTGCTTTCGTTACTTGGTGTCAGAATCCCAGGATGCAAATTCCTGAAACCTAGGAACGGTAATGATACTTGACAGTATAAGGTTTAATAATGCTTTCTCAGGGCACTTGCGTAGAGTGATTCAAAATCAATTTACTTTTTAAAGAAATGTGAATTAGACAAGAAGAATTGGAAAAATAAAACTCTTTTAATTACCCCGATAATACATGTTTTACAATTATATATTTTTTTCTCTTCACTACTGGAAGGACTATAATAGCAGGTTAGTATTTGGGGCTGTGTAGGAGGACCTTGGACGTGATTTAAAGATGAAAGAAGGCAAACAGCTAAATACAATTAAATATAGGCGCTGTTTTACATAAGAGTTGTAATTCTGTCCATTCAGCTTTGAAATAAATACCACCTTATCAGACAGCACAATCAGGTTGGTAACCTGTGTTTTCTTTACAGCAGTTAGGACTGATTTACACCAGCCAGCACACTAAAATGCATGTGTAGGTGCAATGTTTGCAATGGAACTGTTTACCTCTTTTCTTTCCTTTTTTAACATTATTAAATTGTCACAAAATTACACTTTATTCAAACCTAGGCACCACAGCCTGTTAACAATACTATAACTCACACATAAAGAGCAAGTACTGTAAGCCTGTAACATAAAAAGTGGTGAATAAAGTCCAATCTTAAAAAAAATATGTCCATATAAAGAATCTTCAGTAAATAGAAATTAAAATTTAACAAAAGGAGAAATAAATAATTGTAACTGTTCTTTGCAATCCACCGCTGTGAAGATACACTTCCAGAAACTGTATCCTCTGCTCTCCAAGACAAAATAAAACACCACTGTGTAAAAATCCACCTTCCACCCAGTGGGGCTGATTTACTAGAACTGTAGAGTGCAAAATCTGGTGCAGCTCTGCATGGCAGCCAATTAGCTTCTAACTGCAGCTTGTTCAGTTCAGCTGTGACAATAAAATCTGGAAGCTGATTGGTTTCTATGAAGAGTTGCACCAGATTCTGCACTCTCCAGTTTTAGTAAATTAACCCCAGTGTGTGTCTGAATAACTCACCAGAAATATCTGCCTTTAAGCGTAATCAAGTCTGAAATACAGTAACCCATCCTTTCCCAAGCCAGCCTTTCCCAATATGGCTCTTCACCTATTACTCTTCAAAGGCCAATATTCTCCAGATCAAGAAAAGATAAAACAAAACTCCCAATAGTGAGATCCTGTTTATTACATTTATTAAAGATTTCAGTCTACTAAACTGCACTCTCATTTTAATCATAAAAAAAAACAGCATGAATCAATGGCCATACTTCACCATATCGCTCATTCCCCTTAACCCTGCCACACGAGTGCACACAGATCCAATCTAGCTGACAGGCAGGCTGTTCCAGGACTCACTCACAGCTTCAGGGGGGCAAGCACTAAGGTAGACATCAGCCGGCCACAGGGACTTGCCGAGACTCGATCCATCTACGGGCAGACTAGTTGTACTGAAGTCAATCGATTGATCAACTTCAGTAGAACCAGCCTGTCAAATTTTTTCATACGATCACTGCGGGCAGCTAAAGCTGCCAGTGATGTTCTGCCGGCAGGGAAGACTTCCTGCTGGCAGACAACAAAAGTACTGCAGGAAGGAAGGATTCCCCAAACAACTCTAACTGTTTTGATTGGGGAATCAAGCAATTTTTTTTCCTTCCACCTGTGATTGAAGGAAAGAAAATGGCATAATCTATGGGCTGCTTTGCAGACAGCATGAATTGATTTTTTACAACATGTTTCATTCACTGGATGTCATCAAAGCTTGTTGCAACAAACTGCGGTACGATGAGTTGTGCCACGCACAAATGCAGCACATCTTTATTTTTATGCAGTACACCTCGACGCAACATTTTGGTGTGAACAACACACATAGAAAATGCATAGAAACCAAAAGTTTTATATGTGCCTTTGCATTGAGCCTACGTTTATCTATGGAGATCATTGCAGCTCAACAAAGATAAAGTTAATAGCTCTTTAACAAAAAAGCCTGGCCTGTTAATCAGTGCCCACTAGAAGATGCGTCATTAAAGCAGGTCATACATTAAGCAATTTTCTTTCCTGCAACCATGGATAAGCTTGTCTGGGGTTCTAACTGTTCCCTTTGCAAAAAAAAATTAATTGAGTCTAGAGAAACACTTTAAATCACATGCTGTACACGCCTACATTTAACACTTCCAAACCAATTTAAATTGGCCTTTCAGTAACTTTAATATTCTGCATGAAAGTAAAGTTGAAATTTGATTTATTGCTTATCACGGTCTTGTTATATAAACTGTTCTGTGCACCTGCACAGTATACTGTAGGTGTGTAATCTGCAGTCAGTTACAGACATTAAACAGTGACATGAATGGCAAAAACATGGAAGAAAACCATGAAAGTTTCATCTCTGATGTCACCACACATACTCCACAGCTTCTTGGCCTTTGAATCACAAACACGAAACGACTTAGATAAGTTTTAGATGGAGTTCAATTAACATTCTCATTTTCAAAATCATATGATTACACTTTGAGGTCTAACATTTTAAAAACGTAATTAAATTCAATTCGTTGATCATTTTGCCAAGAGAAGAGAAGGGAATCTGATGCTGTCACTGTGAATACAGCTTGATGGAAGAAGCCCATAGCACTGTGACAGCCCCACATCTTTAAAATAGGAGGAAAACTGTATGAAGACATTGACAAAAAA